CGACTCAGGTTCTTGGATATATCCATATCAACCTATACAAATCCATATAAATATTAGCAAATCGAATGCAAATAAAGTGACATGCGTTGGCTCTGATCACGTAGGATATCGAATAACATATTCAATTCTGCAAACAAATGCATCACTGTGTAGCTAGTATTTCAGTTCTTACGTCAGATGTGAACAAATTGTTTTCTGTATCCCATATATGATGATTACATCTCGGGTAGCGTTGTTAGATACCATCCTGAAAAACAGGCGAACAATTTGCCCTCGAAAGAGAACCACATTGTAAATAGATTACCACCAAGCGAAAACGAAACAGACCTTGTTGGCTTTAGACTATATATGCATACCCTGAGGTGTGGTGCCTAAAGGCTATCACAAGTTGGATGAATCACTGTCTGCACACAACGTTCAAAGCAATGAAATAGACCACACGGATTGCGCATACACCCCGATAAAAGCAATTTGTGAATCTTGCTGGCACACCAGATAATCCAATGGATAGCTGGAGTGTATTGAATCGGGATATCGGTGCCATGTTTGATAAGCCCCAAATTACAATCGTAGTCGCTGGATCTGTTTTCCTCGGCAGTGAACGAGATTTGTAACTGTGTCATTCCCGAACGTGTATTCCCATAGATATTTTAGTCCTTGGACGCTTATGGCTACTTCGTGTGATAGCGCAGGTTGCTTGAACAGGACAGCGACAGGAAAAATTGCCATGTCTGTCACTGAGGGGCTCCTCTTAGTTTATAAAAAAGTGATTGGCTTATGTTAAGTTAGGTTGTTACTTTCCGCTGAAACTTCTCAGAAGCACCGCACAGTTATTTGCTTTGCTTGTTTAGAATTATCTGTGCAGTTCAATTAATTGCATCATGAACTACGCTCATTCAGGCACTGTGTGTAGCTGCTGCATTTTGGATACCCGTTTGGACGAAGGAAGAGAAGGAAAGTATGCATGGAGGAATTAGTGTCAATAGCAAAATAGAGAACTATCAGCGGTGAATGTTGACCCAATCCACTGGTACTTGACCCAATGGTATCAATCTTTAAATTTCAACCTCTTGATTTTTGAGAACAGCATTTGATACAACACCTATGTTCCGTTTTCAGTAAATTTCGGCTGCTTGTCCCTTGTTCGCCAAGTTCCTGATGAACAATGACTATTAGCATACATGAATGAACATTCTGTAGGTAATGAAAGTTCCCGTTACCTCGAACATTTTTACGGACAAATCAATTTCATTATGCCAAATTATGAGTAAGGACTTTAAAAACATCTACTGTGTTTACTAGAAAACACCAATAAAGTAGCCAAATTATGCTTGTTTTGACAATTTTACGAATAGATCAGGTAATCAGATGGTTCGTTTGGCAATCAAAATGGGATTTTTACTGTGAGCGATCTGGTCTCGATGACTTCTATCAAGTCCAATCCTGATTCCAGCTATCTCTTCTCATCAAAGCCGACAGTTACATTTTCCGTGGCGTACCACAGCATTACCTTTAGAGTTTCCTCATCAACGATCGGTTCGTACGGATCCGATACATCTTCTTTTGCATTCTCCTTATCCGAACCGTCCGCCTCACTCGTGTCCCGTGCCTCGGCCAATTTGCGTACCACACCCGGGGTGGAAGTCGCGTTCAGTTTCGCACTCAACTCAACCAGTCCGATCGCGCGCAAAACATCGCGTTCCCGATCGGACTGTGGCTCGTACAGGATATCGGCCGCTATTCGACCAATGTCTTCTCTCAGAGCCGCATGCTGTTCAGCCAAGGGACTGTAAATGTTGTTCAGTTCATCGCGAATATCGGATAAGGCCTTGATTTCTCTCTCCTCCGGAATCCGATCTGAGTTGGAGTGCGAGAATAGAGCGTAAGTGAAGGTGTGAGTGAAATCAGGGCAAAAAAGTGGACCAAAAACAATTTAGCTAACGTTGCTCTCCAGGAATTCATACAAGTTTGTTCCTAAGATGTGGTCCTGTGCCAGTTGGTTTCAACTATTTGCCCCGGGTTGGCCTGTAACCGAGTCACCGTAAAAGTGCATAGTTGATAAATCTTTATCGCTCCCGGACGTACTTAATTCTTTGCAGCTAGGCCAAAAAAAGCACGATTCAATAGATATTGATTTTGATAACTGCCTTACAAAGTAAGTCAAACGTTTCTGTGCATTTAGAGTTGGAGAAGATTTAATTATAAAGAACACAGTTACTTCGTTTTTAAATAATTAAATAATAAATAAAATAATTCAATTCTGACTAGGTCCAACAGAATGACGCAACCAATTTTGTCAGATTTTTAAATATTTCTTGAATTGAGAGTTAAAAAGATGACCACTGTTAACAACTCGCCAAAATGGTATTTGTACAATTTTTTCTCAACCCCGACTTGTAAACTCAGAACCACCTTGGAATTGGTATGTATGATTAGGGATCTGTTTTAGACGCTCCAGTGGAATCCTACAAGCCAGTATAAGTAGGAATCAGATTGTCTGTGGAATTTTCGCGTGGTTGGCACAGAGAGAAAGAAAGAGGAACAATGCAGCTTTTCAATCTGATCCATGACGCCCCCATTAGTAGCCACCTCCGCACCACCTGTGCCTGAGCCTCAACAGTGCTATTCATTATCGGACTGACTTGGAAACGCCTACGTGAATTCATGAGCCAGATCGGATAATTGACGTGTTTTTTTCTCCGACTATTCGTGGGGTATACGCTTCAAAGTTCTTCCCCGTGCAAACATCAGTTCTACAATTCCAATCAAATCGAAATAGGCCTGTCTGTCTGTCTGTCTATCAAACAACTGTCCAATCCTTCCAGAAAACAAATCAGGGGTTGGATATCCTGATTCTTTCCAAATTCCTGTGTCACACATGGATTCTACATGCACAATCCAATCGCTCCTTTCCAAAGCATGAATTAATTGTGATAGATTCAGTTATTCCAGTTAAAAGCTGCTGCAGCAAGTAGGCTGTAACTTGCGCAGATCTATTCATCCCTTCACGCAATCCGAGGAAACTGAAGTGCTTCTATTCAGAAGATTTAATAAGTTTCAGGCTCAAAGTCAAAGTTAAAGTTTTATTATGGGAATAGCTTACAAGCTGGTGCTTCTCTTGTCCCATAGGATGTTTACATAGATGAATCGTTACACGTTATATGGTGAAAAGCCACCCTCTGCACGGGACGCAATTCAGCAGTCAGCGTTACACAATACTAGTATACCCATATGCAATCAATATCAATATAAGATGAAATTGTTGCCCATCGATCGTGCAGCTCAGGGGTGTAAGTATCCATTCTCAACCTTAAGGCCGCAGTTCGGATCCGCAAAAGAATAGAGAAGTACGGTAGGCACTTCTGACGACTCCTGTCAACGTTGAAACAGTCGTTCTGTGCTCTTTACTGGTCAGCATGCACACAACATTCTATCAAATGTGGGAATACATCAATTCCCAAGGAGTGAGACTCACATAGGTACAAAATTTTAGGAACAAGAAACATCTAAACTTACAACGTCTAAACCACATGCTCAATAGAAAGATCAAAAACAAATCTGCATTGATTCAATTGGTAGTGTTACTGCACTACCCAAGTGACGGTTTCACATGAATTCTGAAATTTGGTGCCCTCAGGATAAACAACGGTCTTTCCAAAATGGTCGGTAAACAGTTTTCCTTCTCTATTCACCAGTCACTGAATAAACATCCATTTTAATGAGTAAATGGATCATATTCCACGATTTGCCGTACAGTGACGAATCACAGTCATTTTGTAAAAAAAGCACTTCTACGCTCAGAAGAATTCCATCCATCACCGCACTGGACAGGATTGTCCGGTCAGATGTAAAGAAAATCCGATGGGAATAAAACTGTTTTCCGAGCAAAACGATACTCTGAATAAGCAATAATGTCTCCGTATGTGCTCGTTATTAAATAAAAAAGCTAATTTGCGGTTACCGTGACCTGTAAATAAGAGGAGATTTAGTGGGCATTTTCTTCAAGATCTGCCGAGCAATTAACACTGAATCACACATTGCTTTTGTTTCGAGAATAAAAATTAATTCTTTCCTTCTGGTTGATTAGGTCATCAAATAGGAAAATTCTCCGTTCATCTAGGCCAGTATCAGACCAGATGTTAAGTAGTTTTCTCTATAAACTTGGCAAACACAACACGAAGAGAGAAATTTATGAGCTTTTATATGATATTTGATACCAATTCGTGCTCAGTTTGTGAAAGCAATTTGAGAAGAATATTGAAGATTGATTCTGCTCTACAAAGTGTTTTGTTGTTTTATATTGTTGTTATGTTCAGAAAGTTGCAAAGGTTCATGTAAGCAAAATCACAAACCCGTAACTTTTGTTCAACCATCACAAACACATTGACTGGGTGAGTTCATCCTGGAAAAAAGGACGCACCAAAGAAATCGGCTTCTGTTCCCGGTTTTTGGGACACTTCTCTCATAATCGATTTGTCCCCACTCGCATCGGTCGGACTGAGCGGTGTGAGTTGCGGGAAATTGGCCACACGCCGCAAACTCACTTCGGCCGGTTCGCTGAGCAATTCGCTCAGACGGAGCACCCGGGACCGTAACTCCATGTACTGCGTGCATCGATCCCGTTTGATTCCCCTAAGCTCGTCCGCTTTGTTGACCAGATCCTGAGATGAGGTGAAGAAAGAGAGTGTGTGAGAGAGAGAAAGAGGAGAAAGTAAGTATGCAGTTCTATTGGTTGAATACATTTTACGGACCTACTAATGGACCAATATAAGGAATTAGAACTGAATTATTGACGGCCATTTGCCGAATCGCTCAATTTCATTGAAGTCTCTAGATTGATTTCGAGATAGACAAACCATTTATTTATATGATGAATTCATCGAGTAAATGAGGCGTGAGCTGAAAAGCTGGGAAGCACTTGACAGCTCATACAACAATTAGTAAGGTTGCGAAAGTTTCCAGCAGGGTCATAACCCTGCAGATTAGTGCTGATATGAGCCAGGACCGGTACTCGCCACAAGCTAGCAAATATGGGTTGTGCTATATCGCATATATTCCAAATGAGAAACGGAATGATCAGCTGCCCGGTGGCTGAGTGGGTAGTAAGCTTGCGTTCTATCCTTGAGGTCCCGGGTTCGATCCACAGTTGGGTCGATGGATTCGAACTGCTGATGAGACTCAACCAGGTCTAAACAGCTGTCCCATGCTTCCCAGCTTTTCAGCTCACGCCTCATTTACACGACGAATTCATCATATAAGTAAATTAAATCCCTAATTGGTTTCATAAATCATTTATTTCTAAATACTCATCAAAGACACCTAAATCACTTTTGTTGCGGTTGGTAGCATTTAGTCTACCTGAATGTGGAATTATAGTGATGATTCGTAAATGAACTGGTTCCAAAAATCCAAACAAGCTTATCCGACGTTGTACGCGGGTACGTGTATATGAATCAATTGATAAAAGATTACCGGATATCCAAGTGTGATGGACAGCAAGAACCACGAAACCGATTGTGTGTTCTTCCGGTTAAACTTCGTCTAGTCAATCAGATACTACTTACTGTGAGAGAGATATGTATCCAATGTGGACAATACGTTTTACCATGTCGAGCAACATATCAACTATGTCGGGTCTTTATGGTTATCGGTGTAGTATTTCCATCCACCTCGATAAATTTCACCACAGATTCGTCATACAAATTTTGGTAATGATCTGGCGTGTTTCAATTATACTTACAGTAAATTCACTTGCCTAGGATTTTGTGATGCGCTTTACCTAATGAACCGGTTTTGTTTACAAATCACGTGACCAGTTTCGCAACACATCAAGGCTAGCACATGATCTGAAAAGCCTTATCTGTCCCCTACTGACAATAGTTCTGATAACCAGATAACATGTTGAAGATTAAAGTTAGACAATCGATAATTGAGATTCAATTGTCCTTCTAGTTTCTGAAACAAGATAACCGCAAGCAATCAAACACACGCATACATGAAGCATGTTTTTTCAATTGACCTATTCATATGAAGGTTTTATATAGGAGACTTTTGCTAAAAACCACTGAAAATATACAGAAACTCATCGATTTATCCATGTACCAGTCCGTTTTGTTCATTGCATCGATCCCTGATAATGGTTATCACGACGATCGTTAAACACACAAGCGCGTGTATACACACACAGACACAACGTATCCATACGCGAATTTGTAACAAACAGGTAATTCTCACAGCGATCATAATCATGCGGTCTGTGATTTCACATATCTAACTCTTCTGTCAAGTTTCCAGTTGTGAATCCGATATACATTCATAAATCACCCCATGATGAACTATAGATAATCGGGACAGCCACTGAGTACCTTACGCACTGTACTTTTATTTTTTAATTTTTCTTTCGCTTTTAGTTTTCTGGGTAAGCTGTTCTCCTCGTATTGGCGTACAAAAACATATTCATATATCTTTCGGCTATCCATCTGAATAATTATGTATTAGCCAATGTAATGAGTAAACAGTTGAACGCAGTACCAAGATAAAGAAAACTGGTGAATCAGGTGTGTGTGTGTGTGTGTGTGTGTGTGTAAAAAGGGAGTACATGTACGATCACCACTGTTTATGGCACCCAGTCATGGTTGTTCAAACTGAACTGAACTGAACCCGATATATCGGACCATGGTTCAGGATAGTACCGGTATCCTCGGTTAATAGAACTGGCACGATCCACGTGAACGAGTCCACAGATCACGATCCTTATTACTGGCCTGACTCAAACCACATCACACACTGAGGAAGTTCATCCGGAGACATGTGTAACCTGCCCAGGCAGAGCAATCTATGTACTGATGTTAGTGCTTGACCACAGCAATAGAGCACCACCTGGCCTCATCTTGTCACTAATTGCCTGGTTTCTCCTTTCACACTCATGCATTGTGCTAATATCCTGAGCTTACCTGTAACGGTTGGCAACTGCGCTAGGAATATTCAACTGTGAGTGCTCCTGTTTCACGGTGTTCCGTTTCATTTGCCTTGCAGGTTTAGCAGAAACCCCGACCCATGGAAATCCTGTCTATCAGCCTTTTCTTCGCGATCCCGTATCCCTGTTGTCTGCCTCACCACTCCTCCGCCGTTCCATCGCCCGCTTAGCTTCGTATCTTCGCCAGCTACGGGAGCATGAGCTGGGGGATAACTTGTCGCGCATTCGTAACCACCCCGCTGGGCTGGCGAGCCCAAAGTACGTTCGTGGTAGCAACGTTGTTTCCGCCTTTGGTGTTTAGTCCGTTTTTACTCATTTTTGATGAGAGCATCCTAGATTTCCTTTTTGTTTGTATGCTACCAGCTCCTTTTTGAGGATAAGTCAGCCTCTCAGCCGTCTCTGATTGCAGTTTTCAGTGCGTTGCTACCCGTGACTCGGCCTCTGACAACATGAACGGACTCACAATTATTGCAATGATAATCCTGATTCTGCCGGACACGGTGAATCTGTACTTTGATGAATTTCGTTCATAAACGTAAACCCCGAAAGCCCAAATGCCTTGGTTATTCTGCTTTAAAATTTGAAATATTGGTCTAAAAGATGGGGCCATTGTTCCATTGGTGTTTGATGAGCAAGTGTTTGCTGCCGTTTGCGTCGTAATTATCTTGGAAAACATAACACTGAGTTTCATACACTGACTGACAGCAAAACCAGTTAACAATTACTTTAAAAAAATTGGGGGAATTCGGAATGCATTTATTACTACAATTGGCTGGCACCATACTTTTCGTTTAAATATAATTACATAAGGAATCAACTCTTTTCAAGTCAAGTCCAGAATGGAGTTTTTTATCCTAATGGATGGATTTTCAGCTCACAGTATACCAGGGTCATTTATCATCGCATAGAGTCACGGAGAAAAAGTAACGTACAGTGTCATGAATTTCAGGGAGGAGCGAGGCCTGATAATATGCAAAGGAATATAGTTTACCCAGGGTTTGTATATTGTTGTCTCTGACGGATGTTTTCTGTACCAGAAATCTAGAAATATATGATGGGACAACAGACAAACCGTGGTCAGTGGTCCCAGTATACACAAGTTTATAACGACACCCGTTTACGGAAGTGGATGCACAGGGTAAGGGTTTGAAGTCCCAACCTGAACGTTCGCGGTTCGAGTTCTGACAGGGACACAAAAACTACGCACTGCTGACGAGTCCCAAACAGGACGAAACAGCTGTCCAGTGCTCTTTGTCGGTTATCACAAACATTTCCATCACACGTAAATGGATGCACACTGTTTCGGTTCTGTATATAATAGATGACCGATGTCTGAAAGAATATTGTTGTACAATTTCTTCGCAAGGGGTAAACATTTTTGTGGCGATGAAGTTGGGCAATTACGAATAAGGAATACCGTCTGGGCGTAAAATGATTTTAACAGACCGACGTACAAATGTATAGTCTTTAGAGCTAAGACCGATAAATAAAACTGAGGAGCGATAAAGAGTGCGAATGATGACACAAGAATATTCAAAGCGGGTGAGTAAATGCAATGGAACTTTTGAAAACCCCAAGCGAAAATGAGGAAACACAATCGTGCAGTTATAATGTGTAGTCCACGTAAGATCTTGGCAGTTAGTAACACTAAGATATTGTAAATAGCGTACTGGGGAAAGGGTCTGGTTGCCACCATAGAGTACAGAGCAATTTCTTTTAAACGAATGTAGCCGTTCTGTTATGACCAATGATGTGACATCTCTACATATAGATGAGCTATCAGAAAAATGAGAATGGGGAGACATGAGTTTAAGGCAGAAAACTGGCTTGAAACTGTGCAAAACAGAAATCGCTTCGGAATTTGAAATCAATCGTGATCTTATTAGCACACTTTATAAGAACATCGTCTGGGTCGGTGAGTAGGTCTCGAACATAGAAGAAGAGAAAAGGGCATTCCGTAATAGACCGATAGCTGGTGAAGAGTAAACAGAGAGTAGTATTGGACAGTCCAGCGTCAGGAAGTAAAGACGGAATACTGTCCCCGTCCACACAAGTGCAGGCGCTGCTGCAGCTGAAGAAACGCACAAAGTGGAAAATTGAGTTTACAATATGGTCAAGGGCGTCTAAGATAGAAGGTTTTTTACCAGAAGAGAATTTTCCTGGCTGCCCAATTTCAGAAATAATGGGATTAAGCATAAACTTATCCGAAATCATTAGCAATACGGAAGTGCGAGCGCTCACTTGTAATTCCCCGGTTTCGTTATTTGGGACTGGTGATACGGTCAGGTCTTCGATAGTCGGCAACCTTTTGCTCCTCGAAGCAACGGTTGAGAACGCCACCAAGTGGTTCGGTCATATGATACGTACATTTCCTGAATACCACAGGACGTAGTCCGTCAGGATCGGAAGTTTTGTTGTTTGGAGGTACAGCAGCTGTTTAAAGCTCATATGCAAATTTTGATGATGGGTAAATGATTGGAAATGTTATTTTGATGCTTCCATTTGTGTTAAAGTTGAAAATGTGCCACTGAGTTCAGCTGCTGTGCGTCGAGGTCAGCACAGTCGAACTTCTGCTGCATATAGTTTCGCCATTGCTATCCAGATTTGCTTACGATTCCACTTGCCGAGTAGGGTTTCAGTGTACATAGTACCCGACAAGATTTCGGATCTCAAATGGGATTAGAACCGGTATTTGTTGCATTAAAGATAGGTCAAGAATTTTGTATCCCTGTTCCTTAATTCCTCTGAGGGACTTCAGAGTAAGGTAAGAAAATATGGTGGGGCTGATGTATTCACGGACACCAGAGATCTAAACAGATGTTCGAATATACAGTGAGGTATTTATATTCAACCGAGACACTTGGATGATAGAACCAATCAAAGTTAGTTCTGCAGACAGTTAGTGATCAAAGGAAAATTAAGGCGGACCTTTCGTGCAGTAACTTAAACAAAGGGCCATGTTCAACAGCATACTGGGTAGTAGTTTGAGTTTGAATTTTTTTCTTCCTGTTATGAGCTCCAAGATCACAAAGGATCAACGACTGGAGTCCTGTCAATTTTAGTCAAAACCATCACCAGAAGNTGGACTCGTTTGTAGTGTGAACTAGGCAGGAAACATCTCTATTCTGTCGAAGATTGCCGCGGGACAGGTGATTCTGAGGGGAAAAGCAAGCGGTTCCATCAATGTTCTATTAAGTAATCACTGGATGCAATGGTATGACCAGACCAGTCATACTGACGTGACTTGTAATCCACTGGGTATCAGTGCGTGTTATTCGCCTTGTACACAAAAACCAGTAGTTAGCTTAGAGATCAGGAAAACGAATCCAACTTCTGCTAACCCGCCGATAGTTTGAATTACTAGTGTTTCTTTGTATTTGTTCAGACTTTATTAAGTGTGCATTCAAACGTACAAAATGGGCCACCACATTCGTTCCAACCCAAGCTGCACAGCCTGAGGCAAACTTGGTTTAAATGAAATCCAATAACTGGGTGAATGAGGATATGAGCTGAACCCGACCGTGCAGTGGCTACGTTCACGCATGAATAGGATTATCGGATTATCGATTCATCTTGTAGTGACTACCTTGGTTATACGATCGACCACGGTCAATTGGCACTGGGTTCGTTTATTCTCATTCACACCTCACTTGATCACCCGCTAATGGTACAACGTTCCCCGGGGATGAATATCCAGACCACACCTCCATTAAGACCGAAATTTTCACTTGATGACTAACTCGAAAATTGCACTTAACTGCCACTGAACGGGTGTTGTGATTCTTTTCTTGCTTTTTTTTGTCCATTTTACTTCAATAAGAATATACAATAATACAATTTTTTCAGGAAGGGGGACGGGGCCAATCAAACGGGGCTGTCATTGAACGCGCACATTGGGGAAAGTCAGGCGGTGGTGGTGGTGAGACGTGTGACGGCCGAAATACCAATCACTTAATGGGGTTACGTTGGAACGTGATATGTGGATTCGCTTCACGTTTAAACGGAGTCAAAATTAGAAAAAGTTTAGTTAACTCTTCGTCTGGTTAGGATCGTCAGGTGCACAACACAGATGGTACTTGACCTCACGGCTGTGATGAGGCTAATTTTGGGATTTCGAATGTGACAACATGGACACTAACCACGTCAAATTAAACGTCTTCACGAAAGTGAAAGCAGAAATGCAAGTTGGGATTGATTATCACATTTGTTTAAAAAATCCAATCCCAAACAATCATCACGCATTGTCAGGTGATGAACAGTATATACCAATTGTTATTTCTTCTCACGAGGATATCGGGCTCATTTCAGCAATCAGCATCCTAAAGCACCTTGGAACCGGATGGACAAAACCAACGCATGTGAAACTAGTGTGAGAGGTTTGATATCGGGCCGGACGATTTTGCAGCTACATCATAAAGTATAAACGCATTATTTCACTACCAGGTAACCTAAAGCAAATGTAAACAGTGTGAACGGTGTCTTTTCTGAGTTCTGCATACTATCCGATCACACGTTTGTGTCACCGCATTCCCACAATAAATGACAATATACATCTGCAAAGTTGTCTCAGAGCACAGTTATTCTTATGTGCTCTCTTATTTTGCTGTTTGTTTGGCGCAGTGTGTTGTACACTAATGAGCGATATACACAGAGCGGTTTTCGATATTTGAGGATTTGTAGTATGTGTGCTGGTGCTGAACACGTTCAACTCATGCGCGTGGCAAGTGAGATAGCTGTGGCACCAAAAGAAAAATATTTGCCTTTTCTACCGTAAATATAACTGATAGAGAGGATTCTGGTCTATACGATGACAGGACAACGAGGGGCTAAAATATCCCCTGTCCACTTACTTTCATCAGCTCGCTCGAGGTTAGTCCACGTTCAGGTAAATAAGCCGGTATGCGTAATTGTTGACACAAGTCAGCTACTTCTCGCCGTTTGTTCTCAATCCGCTGTTCGATTTCCATGCGCAGTTCATTCTCCTCGGCAATCACGTGGTCCAGGGTTCTCTGAATATACTGGATGGACGATTGTAGACGTTCCGTTCGTTCTTCTTGTGAATAACCTGCAATTCAGGGGAGCGTATTAGTAGTGACAGTAGTAGTAGTGGTAGTCGTGGAAGTGGTACGTAGGTGCCGGATCGATCGATTGGATCAAACAACCACACGAGCAATAATGTTCAGAACCGATCACGTGAAACGTCAAACAGAAGAAAAAACACGCCAGGTAAGAATCAATAAGATAGCTGTAAACGTAAAGAAAATGACCAGTGTTATGGACCAGTGTATTCTGGATAAATATCGACTATCGACTGCTGTTTCATTTTCAAAAGTAGCTGTCCGTCACCAGGTTGTTATATTGCCGCTATTCGAACCTAGTTGCGGAAAGGTGGACCCCGTAGGTCACACACAATGGCCCCACACACGTTCGATTAGAAAGTGATGTGGGAACAATCAAGACCATGTGATTGGTGGCAACGAAAGCTAATAGTGTTAGAATACTATCCAATTGGTCCGAAGATCGCATGTTCGACTCTCGTAAACAGCCGACCACTCTACCCTACTGTATTATTACCCTTGGCAACGTTTTCCGAAACTTGTTATCGTGCACTAATAAGTTAACAAACATGGAGGAACAAAAAATGCTAATATTCTCATTAAGTGGATGAGACAGAGTCATTAAAGTCTACCGGAACGGGAACAAATGCCCTTCACACCAGGAGCATTGAAGATGTCATTTCGGGGGATGATGGAACAGCTGTGTGCAAATCATCCAAACCGGTTGGAATGAATTCTCTCGGGCGTCGGGCAATAACCGATTTTCTACAATCTGAAGCTAGCCTTTCCCGAGAACAAAGAGAAAACCATGCCATGCTATATCCCTATATAAACAGTGTTTTCTATAGTATGCACCATGTTGAGGTGCAGCGAAATCGTCCTGGACAATCTGTCGATCATAGACCTTCCTGTGTAATGCACGTGGAGTAGAAGCTTTCAGGGATACACCTGTTAGACTAACTCATCTCGGAGAAGTCACTCGCGACTGTATCCCTTTGTTGTTGATGTCAATAAATCACCAGGTCACATACAGCATTGATGGGGACGTTTCTGCCGTTGATTGACAGCAGACGAATTTCTACATTCCTATCATGCACGCAAACAAAGGTTTTTAATTTCATATCGTGTGAAAAAGGTAGATGAATGTTGAGGTTGGTCAATCTGGTCCGTGCAAGCTTCACCCATGTGAATTCTCTATCTTCTGATTGGCTCTGATCGCAACATTTCAATTTTCCTTCTTCCCATTTATCCGAATCGGCAGTCACGGGACAGTAACCCAAACCGGCCCACGGAAAAGCCTGATGAATGATTATGAAAACGGAAACCAAATGTTGTCCGGAACAAGGTGATTTTCGGTTAGGAAATTGAGTTTAATTCACAAGGTATGTATTTTTGTTTTCGTCGTTCAGACTGCCTTGGTAGAACTTCTCATAGGACGAAATGGACACAGTTAGAAAAATTCGTTTTCCAGCCTCAGACTCGGATCTGGGTGGAATTCTTTATCGTGGAAGACTTGGACAAACAAAACAGCCCAACCACCAAGATCCATATGAAAAACGAACTTCTTGCCTTCAGATGGTTCATTTGATACCAAGGATTCTTGCCTAATCAGCAAGAAATTGCTTTGTTAGCCTCATGCCCACCCACACTGCATGTATATCAGCACCACCAACCATATCATCAAGTGTCATCAAAACAAACATCAACTGTTGAACCACGTTGTGCCGTTTTCTGAACACGTGATTTTTATTTCATCATTGATCCGATCAGCACCCGGTTTGAAGCGCTAACCAAAAGAATGGAGATTCCTGTTTGTGCTTCAGATCAAATTGGTTTAAATGGGAACATAGGCGTGAGATGTTTTGTGCCAATCACCGATGCTTTACACGCACTGGTACTGAGAACATGCGAAAACAGTTTGGTTGTTTTGCAATTGTGAGGGTCGATTAAATCGGTTTGTGCCTGATTCGTCCGGCCCGAGTGGGCTGCTCCTTCTTGACCAAACCTGCAGTGCTCGATGCAGGTGCACAGAGGATCTAATCCTTGATGCTTGCAGTGGCAAACAGCAATATAATTCAAAGGGAGATGCATGATTCTGAGAAAGATGACAGAGAAACGGATACCGCTATTTAAATGCCACGTTTCACTAAAAGAATTCCTTTTTTCATTGAATAAATTTACCTTTCGGTGGATATTCCTTTGGTCCATCCTAGTGTTACTTTTTTGGTTCCCCGGTGTCAAGAAATTAGCTTTAACATGCAACTGCGAGAGCCGAACCTCAACAGCTATGGTAAATATGGCTGCCTTTCTCGAGGTAGATCATTTTGGTGGCATACTTCGTACATTTGAAAGTGTATTGTTATCAAAGTATCGATTGGTTTCAATAAATTTGAAATGTAACGAAATCCTGCATTGCACTTACCCACATAGTCCCAAATACTGACAAGCTCGCGCAAGGTAGGACGAATTGATTCGATCAGTTCAGTTTCGACCAATTCCAAATTACCCATATCACATCTGTAATAGTCGGGAGAAAAATACTAATCAAAACCTCTTCTTCAAGCACCGCATCAACAAGGACAATCTATACTGAAAATATCAATCGCTGTATCCATTACCTTCATTATTACGTGATTTTAGGTGACATTATTCTTTGAAAAAAGGAAATAAGATCACTCCACAGCAAAGCTGATCACACACTTTACACGTAGTTGCTGCACGTCGCCCTGTGAATAAACTGTCTAAACCCAGTGTGATTATTCTACTACTTCAGTAACAAACTTCGAAGCACAAGTTCTATCGTCTAAAAAAACACAAATGTTAAATGCGCATATGTCGATTCCGTCCTCTCCAATCTAATTAATCGAGCTGAACTGAGCTCTTTTGCATGCGTAAGGATGATGAACGTGTTTGGTGTTAATGCGACGCGAGTGAAATTAAAGATACCACTATGGATTGCAGCACACTAGCAATATAAATTGTACTACAAATGCCCGTTAGGTCAATGGATTTGGAACGAATCGTGACACGTGATCACTTTCTAACGGGTACCTCATTCTTCTCCTACACATAAGAGAAACAGCCGAAGTGAAAGCTGTATTACGGGAAATACTTACAAGCGATTATTTTACTTGCCCCATGGTGTTTTTCGTGCAACTGAATCAGTTTACCGGTTCAAGATAGATGAGGAATTTCACCGGTTTTCATTGTTTTATGCACTGCTATGGATGTTGAAATTTCAGACACGATAATGTTTCATCCGGTCTGTATACTTCAAAAAATCATTTGTGGCCGTTCAATTTGCTTTCTCAACCGACACACAAGAACACTTCACAAACAAAAAGGGCCATTGTTTTAAAATTCATAACAATAGGCGATTCCACGTGGTTAGGGAAATTGGTAACTTTAAATCTAGCCCTATTGTAGAGAGAGAGTTTGAATTATCAATGATCAATTTTGACTGCGGGACACACTTGATTTAATTAAACGAACTGATATTTTTAACCGAAACGTTCTGAATGTCTCAAATGTGTCCGTTGAATATGACACTTTTTCGTTGGTATATCACTCTTTAGACTAAAGTCTGAACCGGAACAGTCGTCTGCGGTCACTAGGTCAAGATTATAACACTACCACCGATAACTTCTTTACCAGACGCAAAATAGTGAAATTACTCAGCAAACGGCATACGATAGTGGTAGGTATTGTGCGCGCTAATTGAGTAGATATACCAGAAATGGCTGCTTCACAGAACAAAAGGAATGCATTATGATGAAGATGATTTCTGGAGAAGCACAGAGAACGAATGCGATTCTATGCAAAACAGTTCAAACGTTTGGACAAGTGATGCTGTTCTACAATAAGAAAACAAATCCGGAAAAGTTCTTCTTCATTGAGATGGAAGGAATATTGATAAAACAAGTCGGTGAGCGAACAATGGAAAATGCTAATTAATGAAATTCATTGGCTCGAATTAAGGAATAAACCCCGTGAGACAGCCCAATTGCCATTAGTCATCTTACCCTAAACCGCCTAAACCGGTATAAATGTGAGGGCAGAACCTCGTGTATTTCCCCTATTCAATGAGCTACTGATCATGATAAACCCCCCTCTCTCCTCCACGGTTCATTTAGTCCTGTATGCACGTCTTATGACTAAATATTGATTCGAGCTCCGTTTGGAACTTTCATTCGGCTTGAAGATTGCCGCTCACCTGCGAATTGTGCGCTATGAGTGATGCAGTCCCACATATAGTATCCGAACTAGCCTCGTGTTTTCTGTGTGCCCAAGGGGTGAGTATCGTAAGAGACCAGAAAGGCTGTTCTCAATGGTAACTATTCAGTCCCGGTCGCTGCCTGATGCAATCGGATAGACTTTAAGACCTTAAGCCGTAACAATGCTAAGAAAGTATGGCAAAACACGTGTTTCAAGATAATCAATGGCGGTCAGAAAGAAAACACCGGATATTACGACTACGAATGCGCTCCAAACAAGCTCCCGGGAAGGAGAATCCAGAGGGGGATTTCTACTGGATATTGAAGATGAGCTACACTCGGTCCAACAGTCAACTACTGACAGTTCACCGAGATCATACTCTGAACAGATTAAAATCAACGAAACACAGTTCATCCTTATTTTGTAGAACTATATTACTTGCTATTCTACTTTATCAACCAAAGCGAGACTCGCGATTTCTAATCGTTACAAATCAACGACACCGTGAAGTTTATAAAAACCATCTGCTTTAACCGATGAATTGCATATTTATGTATTCAAACAACACAAAAAAATGCAAAAGGTGTACGGTGAAACACAAAAAATTCTGTTATCTTGTATTTTCCCATGTTTAACTGTTTCACTCACTTTTCATTATGTTCTGTATCTTAATCCACCTATCCCCTTTCACTGTTATTGTTGTTTCGTTGGCACCATGCTTGTCTTCAAATCGGTGGTAAATATATATATATATATATATATATATATATATTCATGTAAGTTTGTATTTCAGTCATTCCAGACAGAGGTCAATTTTGTTTCATTTTTCCTACCCTTGTGTCACGCGAATCAGACCTATTCCCTGGTTTGTTATCGGCATACATTAGACCGCATACTGAGTTAGCTATTTAGGCCTCGATTCCATGGCTAGTTCGCGACCAAAAGGCCCTCGAATGTCCGCAGAGAACAGCAACTAAATGGTTAAAGAGTTACCATCTAAAACCTTACACTGAAAGGCTGCATATTCACGGACTCTATTCGGCTGAATAAGGTCGAATAGGGGGAGACATGACCCCCGTGTACTAACTATTACATCAATCTAACTACCCGTGTAGTACTCCACTAACACCATCCCGGAATGGTCACCTCAGGGGACATTCGATTAAACGTTTGCTCCGCAAGAGTCGGCTAGACTGCAGGCGTCACTGTTTTAGCCTCGGAGTTTGTAGTACTTGGAACACTTTCATCTCGAGCTTTTTGTGCTATAACCATCGATTGATTCAAGTCCCGGCAGTGCAACACCTAACTGTTCAGCCCCCGTCAGTGAACGTTATAATTTGCCATCGATTTGTACTACCAACCGAACCCCGTGTGTACAGATCCTATGGGATTCAATAAGCATCAGCTTTGTCACTTACTCATGATAAAAATTTAAATACGAATTGGAATGCTTACTATCCATTTTTGGGAGATGCAATCTTTATCGAACCTTCAACGCAGAATCACCTTACATGTATAGCGTAGTTTCATTGTTATTCATGATAACAATAATAATACTGTTACTTCGCTTTACTCAATACACAAATGTACAAGCGACTATATGGAAGCGAGTCGGCTGTTATTCAGGCGCTGCTAGCAGATAACATGTTTAGGAAAGCACTGGATAACGAAAATGCGTTACGGTTCCTCTTTTGGATCACAGTTTATTTTATGAGTTTTTCTTAGAGTGTTCATCATTTTCTGTCTAACTGTACATGAGAGTAAAAATAAGAATACTTATATACGTCTTCATTAGTATGTGTTGTCCAGTTTGATCGCATTGGTTGTTTGAGGATGACGTAGGACTGGGATTTTCTAATGTCCAGAGAGATTGTTCAACTCCAATAAGACGTTCGAAAGATAAAACCACTCGTGAAATTGTCCTTTGTTCATTACATCAAATCGCTCTTTCAATCAATTGTTATGGGGAAATGCGCACCAGTGCTCCATCAGCACACTCCGTCTGTTAGCAAGAAACGGTTGACTAGACACATGCAAGATTTCAAGTGTGCCTTATACCAACTGAGAGAAGCACAGCGATTTTTATTCGTGTATCACCCGAGATGCGTTCTTTTGGGTGTGTCCTATCAGAGTTGCACCAGAGCTGTTGTCGGGATCATTTGACACTTTCCTACAGTTTTGTGTTATCGACTAAAGAAAATGTGCCTTAAACTTGGTTAATGTGTCACAGTTTGACACGCTTTTGATACAAGTCGACAATACCGGAGCAGACACACATTGAACAGAATGACAAATTGTCATTGATCGAACCGAAAAAGTGAATTAAACCGCATGAGGATATTTGCCAGGTTCAACTACCGGCTCACCTGTGCTTATGTTCCACATGCTCCAAAGGTCTCGTGACTTGTGCCTAATAACTGAGTAGCTATTTATCGATCGGTTTGGTTAGCGAGCACATTTACGTCTCGTACATCCCTGTGACAAATAATGTGCGTCATTGCACGTGTGTGACTCATTCCTATTTCAGGTAGTCCGCTTTACGTCATATCACATGCACAAATGGGGTCGGGGCGGGGGGGGGGGGCAGTGAACATCAATATGTAATCCTGGTTAGATCAACGTGTCATTCTTGAGTATCACATAGCCAGTATACACGAGCACGAATGTCAAAGTCCATTCTGACTCCCATGAAATCAGTTCAATGCTAACCCGTGAGTCAGTGTGAAATAATGGTAAAATAAGGCTACTGGCGCATTATGTTTGACGGAAATCTTCCATTCGCCAGGTTTAAAACTTACTGACAGATTTCTCACAAAATACTGTTCACCTATGTGGACTTCTCTTATTGCGAATGTGCCTGCTCATGAGACAATGAATTCTACATCATTTTATTTCCTCATTCAAAATCTCATTCCACATATTCCTGAATCATTTAAGAAGTTTAATCACATTTAGTACTTGTAATATTTATCTTGATTTCAAAGGGGTTTCACACAGACCAATTGACGGCAAATCAATCGACAATCCATACAGTACAACTTCAAATGAATCCATGTTTTATCATCGATGGCAGAAACTCATGCACTACATACATCTCAGTTTCTTACGAGAAAACAGGAAGAATTATTTCGATGTTTTGCTTTTAGAAATCGAACTCAATAGGCTGTCAAACTCTACCATTCAATGCTCCATCCATCGAAAAGTAACCTTGAATGGTCACCACTCTCATTTAGTAAAATGTTACACCGATTTCACATAGACATGTGTTCCAATAAGTAATTCCCATCCCTAGACTAAAAGGATTTGTTCAGCTGATGTTCTGGGGGAACTAGAAAGCTGTCTCCCACGTGAAACTCATGCACAGTGGTCATTCAGCGAACTTTTACAACATTCTCAGCTGATGCAACACTCGAGATTGACCCGATCCATATAGTATTGAGAAAAGTAGTCAGTTACTGGAAAATGCCTCTCTACTGTATGTAGAAATCGATTTGGTAAACAAGCTCATTTTTGGTGCATCGTTTACCAGTCAACAACAGCTCTTTTTTTCTACCTAGACACACGCATACAAACAGAGACATGAATTATTATTTTCTGTTTCATTGACTTATGTCACATACAAAGGAGTATTCGGCTAATAAACGTTATCTATGCCCAACTGGCTTCCAAAGGGTACCATATACGAACTGGTAGACGGCAGAAACTCGTCTCAACCATGAAACGCGTATTCCCAACCCTATCAACCAGTCGAACGGTTATACTAGGCAATCGTGGACCAGGTCAGGTGTTACATTTTGCGTCACACATGGTGCATCAGTTCAGTTCCCGTCAAAGTGATACTTAAGTTGCTAGAGCGATCCAAAGACCATCACATCGAATGTTGGGATATATCCCCAAATGGCGGGAAAAATCAGTGTTGCAAAACCCCACTCACCGGTTACCCCGAAGGTCCTCGATTGCGAGATATCCGATCACTGCGAACAATACAGTGGATCTCATTTTATATTTTGTTACATAGTCATAACCCGACGCTTTTATTACTGGACAAAGCAATTCTCGTCATTTTACGTGACTCAGTTCTCTCTAATTAGGAGTTATGTGCACAGACACTCCGCTCACCATTGGGATTGACATCAGTCCACTTTATGTTCATAAACCTGTCCGTCTATGTTCGTTCACTACAATCGCTATATATATATCGAGCACCGGCGTGTGAGCAAGTTCCGGTCCAACTCAACGACAAGAATAACAGAACATGGGGGGGGGTGGGATACATAGCACAGTAAATGGGAGTCAGACTTATTTACGTTAGTGAAAATATTGGCAGCTTGCCGTACTTATCTTCTCACTGTATTGACCGAGTGAAATAAGAACAATCAATTGTTTTCAATTTGTTTAGCCCAGGAATTTCGGAACATTCCAACGTCCTATTTATCTGGTCTCCTAATTTATCAGTCCCTTCTTGATATCCATTTATGACACACAGAACCTAACAAGGAATCCAGACTTCGAATAATGTGAGCCATTTTTGCGATCTACGTTGACTTTAAAACCTCTATCCGGTGAATAATTATTTTACAATTCTCGATTTATTGAAACACCTAATGAAAAATTATCAACTAACCGACAATTGAGTAGTCGGAATAACAACATCTTGGTCACGAAGCGAACGTTTACTGCGCGAACAGTTAAGGTCTGAAGTGAACCAAGCAAGTCGTTGGTTAAAACCGCCCGAAGTGTTCGAATTCTATTGAAGATCAAATGATATCGTCTTTTTCGTAGTCCATTTTCTTTAACAACAGTTTTGAATAACACTAAACGATATTTATCAGAAATCAATTTTTTACCCAGTCGAAATTTTGATTGAAGTCATCAAATTTTGCTAGATTTTTTGAAACATTTTGTGACTGGATTGCAATTTTGGCTTTTAACAGCGGGATCATACAGATCAACCAGTTTGTAGAAACAAAAACAACATTAGCTAACCAATAAAATAGAAGTTGGAAAAGCGGAAAACAATAACAAAATACAAGCCAATTGTGGGTGTGACAGTCCTCGAAGTTAAGCTTGACGATAAACACGTGATTTCCGTTAACCATACACGAACAAATGACCGTTTTCGCCATACCGTTCAGGTGGAGTCCCACCCAACCCGATCGAATCAATACTGATCAGAACCGAGAGACCAGAATGTCTGGCTATTCGCATCTCGACTTATATGGGATAGAGATCGATGACACCGGGGACGGACACACCCAGGCTAGTAGTAGGAGTGAGAAATATCTAATCGTGTTCCGTGGACAACCACATGACTGACTAAATAAAATGCAAACGGTAACAGTTTCCATCACAAGCGTTGTCAAACTTTTCGATCTTATAAATTTTCCCGAATGAGTTAATGGTTCAGATTATCTCTCAGATGACCTGGAAGATGAATGCCCAACTGATAACAGAAAAGAACTGCAATGAAATGTGTCATACTAATTCATTTTTATTAACTTGTCACACCTAACTGAACAAAGTTAAATCTATTTCTTAGTGTAACCGTTCACAATATAATTCATCTGTTTGGGAATGCTAAATTGTGTTATATTTCACTGTTCGAATCAGTCGGCGTGGGTCTTCAAACGGGTGTGCTCACGTTTCCTGGTTGTTACACGAAGAAAACACATCGGCAAAGTAACAGTTAACCAAAGGATCGATCCACAAAGCCAATTACCTATACATTCCCCCCAAAACGTACATGCCATACGCAAAACGCACGGTCGGACCGGAGTGCGATCGATAGAATCGCAATCGACAGGCGAATCACAATGGACAGCATGAACAGGACAGACCACAAAATAAACACGTATACGACGAATAGAGAGTTAGTCTGTCTGTTGCCAGTCGGTAGATTACATCTATCTTGATGTGACAGTTTAGTTCCAATGAAAAAGGCGCACAATGTATTGTTCCGTTTACTATTCCACCTTGCGCAAACAGCATCTACCGTCCGTTGCGAAATGAGTCCATTGGCTTTCAGTTTCCCTTGTCATTGTTTAACGACTGATTAGCATGCAGAAATTTAAGGGGATATTTATAAAAATAATCAGTGTCATACACTGATAACTAGATAGCAGTTCCTCGTGATAATCATATTAGCTGATAAATGACAGAATTCAGTCATGGTTTGATGGTTTACATTTTTTTAAAAACACCTAGCTCTGAATTTTCTGTTCGTGATCCTCCCAGAAACAACATGTTTCTATCCATTATTCGATCAAGCAGATATTTTAGACTTTTTCATTTACAGCCAGTAATCAAATTTTGTAGAAGTTTCATAAATAAACATCAAAATCACTAATTTGGTCATTTTTTAGCGGTAGATCATGTAAAAATAGTTGCGCTGGTCTCCTTTCGAAGGTTGTACAAATATTCGACATGTATTCCACCTTGCACCAGAATTAGTGCCTCGGATGGGCAAGTTTCCGTGCCTGCTCACGATTCCCAGTGGGCTCTGCGGATATACACTTACAATGATGTCTAGCAACATCGAAACAGGTGCAGAAACTATATGCAAAGCTTTCCTATGTGATTGATATAGAGCCTCTACTGAACGAGGATATTTTTCATAAAGATGTACGTGTGATTTGTCAGGATACAAGGTAGTTGATTTTATCGTGGCTTTTTAGTTGATATACAAAATGTGACAATTGTGAACTTAAACTAATTAAGAAACAGTCAATAAAAAGCTATGAAAAAATGTGAAAAAATGAACCACTGAGAACAGAAAAAGAACACACGAAAAAATGAAGATATTCCATTCTATGAATAAGATAACTTTTAAACATGACAATGACAAAGATTCAGTGAAAAATGAACCGGTGGATCGTCACAAATCGATGCAACAAAATGAACGCAAAACATTTGATGAAAAGCAACATCAGTCGATAAAGTATAATTATTGTTCACGCGTAAAGCAGTTTCATTAAGCGGTTAATATCTCGCATGTATGAGGAGATGGTGTCGCCACATGCTATCTATTTGTTATAATTTTAGCATCTTCAGAATTTAGTTGCCATCCAGAACACGGTCTAATTCCTCAACCGAGAGCGATTGGTTTTAATCAAGTTTGCCATACACTACCAAGTCTATATTTTAACAGTTTACACAATTAAAAAAATCAATAATGACGCTAATACTTCAACTAATGTGCACGCAATTCTTATTCCCGTTCAATGTCAGTTGACCTGAATTATAAGTTCTAATCACAAAGAATGTATTTTATCTTTGCCTTAGTAACTGATAACTCACTGAAATTTTTGTTGTTTCATCATGAATGCAGTCTTAGACCCATGACAAAGTTATCATCTTTTTTGCTATCCATCTCCAGTTCCTTCAGCCTCCCCTCCCCATAACACCAAACCCACCCCCCGACTACCACCAAACCATGTACAAATCCTATGAGGCTGACAATTTTGTGCATTATGAGGGCGATCTATTGGCACAAACTACCATGTTGACAAGTAAACTGGTCAGCCATACGGAAAGTTTTAAACCGATGAGATAATAACTGGACTTAGTACACGCATAACTGCACATGGAAACCTGTACGTGGAGCCCAAGTAGTGATGAACATTTGGCAACACAGGTTTTATTTGGTATTAAGGGAGAAGGAAATCAATTCATCCATTATAATGACCTGGATTGTACACCGTGTTAAGTTTCATTTAAAAAGAACAACATAAGACTAATCGAACACAATGTTACGAATTCTCACATCAACATATTAGTGTCACTGATTACCTGGTCTTGATTTGGTTGTAGCAATCCACAAGGTATACAAGCATCCTTATGGATGATTTTGTCTATTTCCTGACAAG